AGACCGGCGACATCGCTCTTCGAGGAAGATACAGCCTTGCTCAGTTGCTCCTCGATGTGTTGCGCACAACGTCCTGATGCGCCCAAACTCGCAGCCCACCTGGTACCTTGGAACCGGGCATCTGCGTGCATGATTTGCCAAGGCATGCAATGATATAAGGTATTATAACCATTGTGCAACAAGGCACTGGGGGTCACATTTGCATCCCCTGCTTCTGCGACGGCCGCAGACGCCACTTCTTGAAGAAGTCCGGAGCTGGCTCCCCGGCCCACGTGAAAACCGAGTGTTCTGCTCAACGCGCTTTTCCGCAATGAAAACTCGGCAAAAGATGGTCTTCTGGCAACAGAACCATCACTGCCAGCAGTCGCCTGATTTCTGTCCAGGCTCTTTTTCAAATGAACCAGTCTCTTCAGCAGCGGCATAGGAGCCCAGGCTGGGGTCAGACAGCACGAAAAGGAAAGCCATGATGACGTGTAGGGTGGGCTGCATGGGTGGGCTCGTGTAGGGTGTGGTGGTGCATGGTGATACATAGTGGCATGTTGCATACCAAAGTGCATAGGGTGGTCTTGCATGGTGCATGGTGGTATTGTGCATGGTCGCATTGGGGAGTGAATCATACAAGTAGTATTACAAGGTGACCGATGATCCAGAGGTTGAATGAAAGAGAACGTCATCGCATGACTCAACAAAAACTCTACATGGGGCTGGGTTGGCACCTCGAACATAAGAAGCATGGCCGTGCACACATATGCTCATGGACGACTGATGCCAGACTCAAGGACACGCGCTTCAGGCTTCAAGCCATGCATGACAAGTCGACTACACAAACCGCATCAATGCTTTTGGGGGATGATCGCACTTGATGCTGCCGGCCGGAAGTGACTCAAGGCAGGACTGCAGTACACTGCAGACCCCAGGCACTCCAGCATGCGGCGGCCTCCTGTAAGATGCACAGCACACTAATCATTGATGCAGAACGCCAACTTCAGGGTTTCGGTGTTTCGGACTTAGGACGCAGGATTTTGGAGCTTTGGGTTTAGGATCTACAAACACTTCCGGAACAAGGTAGCAAGAGTATATCTGCGATGGCAGCTAGTCACACAACATAGAGTGCCGCGCATGCTGTTCTCAAAAGATGAACTGCTGGCCGATCCCCGCTCACACTCAGAGCACACTGGTTTTTTCAGAGGCAGAGTGCTGAGCACAGCAACCCTCCAGCCATCAGCAGATCGAAGGAAAGGAAAAGGAGGCTTCCATGGGTCGGATGCAAAATAGCGGTTAATTCGGGAACCTTGATGGTATCAGCAGGCGGTATGAACCCCGAACACCAACACGTCCCAATTAGAATGATTGATGCAACCAAACCACACTATGCTAAACACTACATACATATATAGATGTATATGCCACTCCGAAAACGAGAAACCATGAAAACACATACATACAGACAGGGCTCAGCTAGGACCTACGGTTCGTTATAAGACGATTTACAGGGTTCTAGCTGTTTAGGATTCGACGTATTGTGCTATGTTTCCTACTCAACCGCTACCCACCCACCCACCTATCATACCTAGACCGGCTACAACCATATGCAGAAGCTACCATATATGCGCCTCGGTTTGCATCCGGACCTAAGCCTGTGCTGCAGCCTTTGCAGCCGACTTGGCTTTCTTGGCCGTCTTATTCGCGGGACGTCGCTCCGAAGCGATCCTGAGCCGAACAAGAATCGTGATCTATTTTACGAATAACATCAAGCTTCACATGGATCGACTGTCACACACAATATAAGCTGCACATGCCAACAAAAAAACATCCTATATATATACATCTGAAGCAAGAAGCAGGCCATTCGCCACTCGAAGATGCTTCTTGAAACCCTCCACAAACACGGTAGCCTAGGAGGTGTCGCATGCAGTGTGCCGAGAGGCAAGGGTCAAGGTCTGCACACACACACACATACACTGCACATCGTAACCGAAACATCTGCCCAAGTCGCCTCCAGCAGGGCCGATTGCACATCGGCGGCCACTGGCTCTGTCCCCATGAGCTGGAGCTTCTTGCGACAAGCCCCGATGCCTTCGGCACAGTCCTTAATCTTCCCCATCAAAGCCTCCTGGCTCTCGAGGACCTCCAACCTCAGATTTCGGAGCAGATGCAACTTTGCACCGAGAAGGCTTTCCCGCTGAAACATGGTGTTCGCCTGCCTAGGCACTCTGCACACGTTTTCACGGCTTGCCCCTGGGCCGTGTTCGCCGCGGCCACCCACGACTTCACGAAAAGTCCAACGTTCTCTCCACTGCAGATCAACTCCATGTCGGATCCCTGCCCAGGCAGGCTATCTATCGAGCTGGGATATGTGCATGCATGCATGGGACTATCACGTACACACGACGCGTGTGCCTCCGGCTTCGGAACTTTCGCCTTCTTGGGCGGCGGCTGGGGGTCTTCCGTCGTCGTGCCGGGTGGCGCAGGCGCACTGCCTTTTCCCTTTGGAGCCGCCTTGCCGGGGGCCGGCACTGGCGGGTTCACCGAAGAAGTAGCCCCATCAGCAACTGGCAGGGCGCCGTTCATGGAGTCCAGCTGTGCCGCCACGGACGTGGCGAAGTTCGGGCAGACGCCCATGCTGATTGCGATTTCGTCCTCATTGTTTCCAACAGCACCGTGACATGAACTACTATACAACAGCATCCGGATCCGGACATGAGACAGTAGAAAAAGTGCCAAGACGCGATCGTACGAACCGTCAGGGTCCGTCGCTGGCGGCCGTAATATAGAAATGTCTCCATATCAGGATCATTCCGATCGCAACTGGTCCTGACACTTTCTGTTTTCACTAACTATTATGGAGCACACGGTACCCTAACTGAACTGCAAGACATGATCTTCACGCAACCGGTCCCTTTGGGCTCTGCTCTGCGTCTTGCAATGAAGGATAAGGCCTTCTGTTCGTTGCCCTCGTGAAAGGCGAGTATATCACGCCAGCAATAATATTCACCTGTGCATGACCACATCACATAGACCAACTAAGAAACCTTCCAAAAAAACGACACACATATTCGACAAACTCCCAGAAATATAGCACGGCTATACGTATAATATATATATATATATATATATATACATACATATGGATATACATTATCTTCTGTATTTCGTATATGCTATAACATGAGAAAACTTCAATATAGGAATATGCGGATCCACCTTCGTCTTTGCTCTCCTCCTCGCTCTGCCGGCGGAACTGGAGGGCACATTCCAAAGCCGCAGGGTTACCTTTGGGATGACGGGATCGATGAATACATCTTTACACTCTCAGACACACAACGTGTACATTAATAATCTCAGCTACAGAGTACACGAGGCTACGGCGATACCCGTCGTCATATAGTTAGTGCATATACAATAATATATAAGCCTGGCCACAGCCTGTCAGAACAAACTTCTGGAACATTGCCAAGCGCGGTCCGCCCTGCACCCACACCTTCTTCAACTCCACTGCTCCCGGTGAGTTCTCGCAAAAGCGTTGGAACGAGCGGTACTCAGTCCTGTGGGTGCTTGAGTTGACCACAGGTCCCGTCGGCGGGGCTTTCGTCACAGCGGTCTGCGGTGGCAAAGGCGTCGAAGGAGCAGGTCCTGTCGGCGGGGCTTTCGTCACAGCGGTCTGTGGCGGCAAAGGCGTCGAAGGGCTCGCAGTGCTCGGCGGCGGCAAAGGCGTCGAAGGGCTTGCTGTGCTTGCCGGCGGCAAAGGCGTCGAAGGGCTTGCTGCTGTGCTGGCCGGCAAAGGCGTCGAAAAAGGGCTTGGCGGCAAAGCCGGCTGCGAGTCGATGATCTTCGTCTTGTCAACGGCCTCGACTCCAGCATCAGGGGCTTTTGCAGCAGCCACAATGCTGGCCATGGTCTGCTGAATGGCCGCAAGCCCCGCTGCATCAACACCATGGCTCACCGCCGTGCTGAGAACCGTCGCCAGCATCGTCGTCATGGCATCACTCGTCGGCTTTGCTGCAGCTGCTGTCGTCTGCTGCTGAAGCGGCACAGTCGGCAACGGCATCGGCTGGGGTACTGCCGGCGGCCCCTTCGGCACAGGTTGGCTGATGTCGGAGTCGACGGAATCCGCATCACTGGTCAACGACAGCGAGCTGCTCGAGCGGTACCGCGACCAGAAGTTGCCATACATCGCCTTCTCCTGCAAGGTCAGCTCCGGCAGCGCATACTCATCCTGTTGAATGAGAAATACAAAGAAAAATCATGCCAAATTATTATAGATCGCAGAAAATCACAATTAGCTGCTTTGCATAAGGCTTGACATATCACGAACCATCACTGCTCTACGTGGTGAATGTCCTTCACAGCAGCAGCCTTCGGCTTCGTCCTTGCCGCACTTTTCGCTTTCGCCGTCACGGGAGTCGGCGACGGCGACGGTGCCTTCACCAGCAGTGCTGCTGACGTGTCCGGTGCAACCAAGTCCTGCGAGACAGATCGCATTTCGGTCGGCACCAGAAAACACACACAGAAAGAAAATGTCACACTGCATGCATTATATTATGTGTCCCATACGACGGTGATACATCCTACACGTCGTGTGTGGTCTAGGGTTTAAGGGTTAGGGTTTAGGGTTTAGGGTGTATACATAGACCGGCCACGGACTCAGGTTTTGCGAATATTCCAGACAACATTAACAACGGAACCTGCCTGGGAGACTCGAGCCACCTTTGATGTGTCATCAAAGGAAGCAGCCGAAGCCAGTGTTGACACAGCGCTGCGATTCAGCCGGGGCGGGGGTTCGGGCGTGTCATTCACACTGATTGGCTCCTCCTGATCCATCTGCGTTTCAAGCTCTTGCACCATCTCCAAAATGGAGGGAGTTCCAGGCTGCTGCAGGAGCGTCCTTGCTGGCGGAAGGTTCTGCGGAACTGCACACGGAGCTGTCACCTCTTGCGGTCCACTTGCTGGCGGAAGGTTCTGCTGAACTGCACTAGGCGGAGCTGCCACCTGCTGCTGCGGTCCACTTGCCGGAAAGTTCTGCGGCGGATCTGCACTAGGAGCTGCCACCTGCTGCGGGGGGCCACTTGCCGGAAGGTTCTGCGGGGGCACTGCACTTGGAGCTGGCACCTGCTGCTGAGGGGGGCCACTTGCCGGAAGGTTCTGCTGCGGGGGAACTGCACTTGGAGCTGCCGTCTGCTGCGGGGGGCCACTTGCCGGAAGGTTCTGCTGCCAGGGAACTGCACTTGCAGCTGCCACCTGCTGCGCACCTGCTGGAAGGTTCTGCTGCGGAACTGCACCTGGAGCTGTCATCACCTGCTGCTGTGGTACACTTGCCAGGAGAAGGTTCTGCTGCGGAACTGCACAAGGAGCTGCCACCTGCTGCGGTCCACTTGCCGGAAGGTTCTGCTGCGGAACTGCACTTGGAGCTGTCACCTGCTGTGGCGGAAGGTTCTGCTGGGGAACTGCGCACGGAGCTGCCGCCTGCTGCGGTCCACCTGCTGCTGGCGGAAGGTTCTGCTGGGGAGCTGCACAAGGAGCCGCCATCTGCTGCATTCCACCTGCTGCTGGTGGAAGGTTCTGCTGCGGAGCTGCACAAGGAGTTGCTACCTGCTGCGGTCCACCTGGAAGGTTCTGCGGAACTGCACCCGGAGCCACGTGCTGCGGTCCACTTGCTGGAGGAAGGTTCTGCTGAGCTGGACTGGGCGGAGCTGCCACCTGCTGTTGCGGTCCACTTGCCTGAAAGTTCTGCGGCGGAACTGCACTACTGGGAGCTGCCACCTGCTGCGGGGGGCCACTTGCCGGAAGGTTCTGCTGCGGAACTGCACTAAGAGCTGCCACCTGCTGCTGCTGCTCTCCACTTGCCGGAAGGTTCTGCGGCGGAACTGCACTAGGAGCTGCCACCTGCTGCGGGGGGCCACTCGCCAGAAGGTTCTGCGGAACTGCACTAGGAGTTGTCACCTGCTGCTGCGGTCCACTTGCCGGAAGGTTCTGCGGCGGAACTGCACCAGGAGCTGCCACTGCCACCTGCTGCTGCTGCGCTCCACTTGCCGGAAGGTTCTGCGGCGGAACTGCACACGGAGCTGTCACCTGCTGCTGCGGTCCACTCGGCGCAAGGTTCTGCTGAACTGCACTAGGAGCTGTCACCTGCTGCTGCGGTCCACTCGGCGCAAGGTTCTGCTGAACTGCACTAGGCGGAGCTGCCACCTGCTGCTGCGGTCCACTTGGCGGAAGGTTCTGCGGGGGAACTGCACTGCTGGGAGCTGCCACCTGCTGCTGCGGTCCACTTGGCGGAAGGTTCTGCGGGGGAACTGCACTAGGAGCTGCCAGCTGGTGCTGCTGCGGTCCACCTGCTGGAAGGTTCAGCTGTGGAACAGCACCATCACGTGGCTGCAGCATCGTTGACCTTGTATAATCAGCAAGACTATATACTATAATCTAAGGCTATCCAGAACTTCTTAATTAATTCATTGAGAAATAATCTCTCTATACATATATATATATATATATGTATATACACACATATATTATATATGACATATATATGTTTACATAGGTATATCAATATTGATCCGGCAAATACCACAAAGGGAAGCTCAATCCGCGGCTGCATTCTTATGTACCTGCTGTCCCTTTCCCATGGCAGTATGACAATAAGTAGCCTCCGGCACCCACCTGTCGCTTAATATGTAGTCCCCCCGAGCTGCGGGTTGCGCTCGCTTTTGTGTTTGTGTTTTGTGCCCGCAGGCACACCCAGCCTGTCCCCTGCGATAGCGCTTGCGATTTTTTGTGGTGTGCGTTGTGACCAGCCTCGCCGCTTCCCCTCCTACATATGTCAGTGGTCTTTTCCATGCAACGCGGTAGCGCTCGCGAAATTTCTGCGGTGTTGTTTTTTTGTGCCCAGGCTCGTGTGTTCCGATGATTCCAAGGGGGTAGCCCCCCCCCCCGCGGTAGCGCTCGCGAATTTTCTGTGGTGCGGTTTTGTGCCCAGGCACGTGTGTTCCGATTATTCCAAGGGGGTAGCCCCCCTCCGCGGTAGCGCTCGCGAATTTTCTGCGGTGTGTTTTCTGTGCCCAGGCACGTGTGTTCCGATTATCACAAGGGGGTAGGCCCCCCCCGCGGTAGCGCTCGCGAATTTCTGCGGTGTGTTTTCTGTGCCCAGGCACGTGTGTTCCGACTATTCCAAGGGGGTAGGCCCCCCCCGCGGTAGCGCTCGCGAATTTTCTGCGGTGTGTTTTCTGTGCCCAGGCACGTGTGTTCCGATTATTCCAAGGGGGTAGGCCCCCCCCGCGGTAGCGCTCGCGAATTTTCTGTGGTGTGTTTTTGTGCCCAGGCACGTGTGTTCCGATTATTCCAAGGGGGTAGGCCCCCCCCGCGGTAGCGCTCGCGAATTTTCTGCCCCCCCCGCGGTAGCGCTCGCGAATTTTCTCTTGTGCCCAGGCACGTGTGTTCCGATTATTCCAAGGGGGTAGGCCCCCCCCGCGGTAGCGCTCGCGAATTTTTTGCGGTGTGTTTTTGTGCCCAGGCACGTGTGTTCCGAATATTCCAAGGAGGTAGGCCCCCCCCGCGGTAGCGCTCGCGAATTTTTTGCGGTGTGTTTTTGTGCCCAACACCTACCCACCCGCCCCCGCGTGTGCTATTTTTATGTGTGCCGTGGAAAGAGCAACCCCCGTGCTTATAGTGTGTGTGTGTATATATATATATATATATTTATATTTATTTATGTATTATTACTGTTATAGAGTAGGAGGACAGGAGAGGAGAGGAGAGGAGAGGAGAGGAGAGGAGAGGAGAGAGGATGGGGAGGATGGTAGTGACGCCGAATGGCATCTTCTGCCGCACCATCTCCTGTTGCTCTGCAGAAAGCCCAATCTGACCCAGCAGCAAAGCATCGATCGAGGAAGTCACTTCCTCGGATTTGTTTGCATACATATAGATATGTATATAGGAGAACATACCAACACACAAGCAATAGTGTGTGTGTATACATAGCAAGCATCGGAAGCTGCAGCCGCCGGGAGCACAGCCGGCGGTTTGCCGGCAGGTTTGGGTTTCCCCATCATCGAATTGCGAATCTCAAAGCCGTCACTACAGACTGCAATGCTTGATTTCCACACAAGCAGCACAAGAAACAAGGATGACTGATCCATCGCGAACCAATGCTGAACGAATCTCACAAGCTCCGAAGCACATCGGATGCCATCGCGAACACGATTTTCAGGGTTTTGGGTCCTACGTGTTGAGTTCACAGATTCTACGCATTTTCCCTTGTTTTTCACATGTTTTTCACATGTTTTCGACAAGTGTGTTTTCAGCATAATGATGGTGATCAAACGTTACTCGGATGTTATTTGCAACATACTTTTCAGGTTTTGGGTCCTACGTGTTGAGTTCACAGATTCTACGCATTTTCCCTTGTTTTCGACAGCTTTTTCACAGGTTTTCGACAAGTGTGTTTTCAGCATAATGATGGTGATCAAACGTTACTCGGATGTTATTTGCAACATACTTTTAGGTTTTGGGTCCTAAATGTTGAGTTCACAGATTCTACGCATTTTCCCTTGTTTTCGACAGCTTTTTCACAGGTTTTCGACAAAGGGTTTTGTGCCCTTGCGATGTCGATCCAACACACACACAGAATCATGAGATGCTATTTGATGATGTTTGTATGTTGCACGCTGTTGTTCTTGAAGTCCACATTTGCATTTCGTGACATCGCCCGGCAAGCACAACCCAGCATTGCCTTTCCCCAGGTTGCTGGGCTACAAACCTTTGCGATGCCCTAGGCAAAATCGCTCGGCCAGACCTTCGGCAGCCTTAGCTTTCCACTATTCAGCATAAAGTGCACCACCTGTAGCAGCGATGCCTGAGCTCATGCAATGGCAGGAGACGTACCGAGATGGTTTGTTTCTCTCAGTGCCGCCTAAGTACGTCCTCCTGCCAATCGATGGGCTCCGCAAACAGCAAGGTAATTTGTGCCTTCAAGTCGTACGTGTTGTCGTCAGCGGCAGCGAACACGTGTGGCCACGATTGCTCGTGGCATCCAGCACAGGATTCCTGTTTTTCTTTTTTTCTGAATGGGTTCCTCTCTGTGAACTGTTCTCAGGCCTCTAGGATCATCGAAACAGCCTCAATGCGATGTCTCCGTCAAAACTCAGGTTTAGCTAGCTAGATTACAGTAGAAGCCAGAAAGTTGGAACATGAGTTTAGGAGGATTAGTGCCCGTTTCCTTTACCTTAAGGGCATGAGGATACTAATGTTCCAACTTTCTGGCTTCTACCATAATCTATGGGATACGATACAAACCCTGATCAAGCAGAATCTGGAATCCAGTGTAGAATTGTAAACCTCCAAAGATGCAACGATCGAGTGGAGCCGACGATGGCTGATTCATCGCCAGCAGCCAGGGCCAGGCGACGTCCAGATTTGGATGGATGGATGGGCTCTAATAAAATGAGTGTATATGTATACATATGTATATATATATATCAGGGACATTATTTTGTGATTATTTTTATGAATAGACCCTAAGGCTCCATGTACCCTTATAGTAGATTGATACTTAGGCCTTAAAGTATCTATATAGGGAGTACTTTGGGGCTTAAGTATCTACTACAAAGGTACATGGAGCCTTTGGGAGATAAATGGTTAGTTGCATATATATATATATATATATATATATCTATATATATCTATATATAGTCAGATATCAAAGACGAACAGATAGATACAGCGGGGCTTTTATCAGACGAGCAGTCAGCAAGGTGTCGGCTTCGGGGCTCCAGACTGGGTGTATTCGTGTACTCAGTACATTAGTACGGGCTTGGGGGTGTAGGGGTATATAGTTGACAGCACAATAAAGCGGAATAACTATTGCATGGGTCAAGTTATAACAAACTTATCTCTCCAACTATCATTTGGGAGGGCAAAGTTGAAGAACATCCCCAAGTGCGGATGGATGTTAAAGTCTATATTATATTGCTTCAGGTTGAAAGAAAACTACAACCTGTAGGTTCAAGGTTCAGGCTTTGGAGTACGTATATAGAGGATATACAGGACACTATATGGCGCTCATATATAGAGGAAACCCCATCACAGTCCTATCCGCGTGACACCGAAGCCCGAACTCCTGCTATATATGCAGAAATACTCGCCAACGGACACCGAAGCTGCAGCAAACCGTACCCTAACGAAAAGCCCAGCATCAGTTTAATCGTATAAAGTCCATGATTCTGTCCTACCGGTTCCTCAAACATAATCGAGAAACTTCTACAAAGCGGCAGACCAACATCCCAGCGCAACCGGCGATATATAACCCGGCCCAACACTGATTGCTACGTGTAGGTCCCAGCGTCCTCGCAATTGGCAGCCGCCCAAGCATCGAGCACCGCTTTGGCGAAGTCCGGGGTGTATTGCCTGGGACCAGAACAATTAGTCATCGAATAAAACAGATGTGATTGTGCGGTTTGCAAGTGAAGGGCTCCGGCTGAAATACAACCATCGATGTGTCGGGAACTTTATTGATCAGGTTATCTCAACGTCAATTCTAGATCGAGGAAGTGCGTAATATTCATGGGCGAAACATATGCCGGTTGATCGTCGCAGAAGGCTTGATACTTGAAGTTTCGGTTTCCGGGTCGCAAATTGCGGACTTGAACTCTTTCTGAATTACGGAACATAACAAACTTACATAGAGGATTATAGGCGTAAAGTCCACTTGGAAGCAGGTCGCAGTGCCTTGTACAACGAGTTCGTCCATGAATGAAGCACGTACTTATGGTGCTAAGGCTTGGAGTTTGGAGATGTCAAAGCAGTTGATCTAGCTGCCCAACCCTTTGTATGCTGGACCCTAGCTACATGGCAAGAGAAAAACCCCTGAGTGTTGAATATACGATAATCAGGTGTACCCAGCAAGCCTAACCTGAATGAAACAGCATAATGACATAGTGTTTAGCCATTGAACCTTACAGCAGCCAAGGGCACTGAGTGTCCTTCACGTCCTTCGGCTTGCCAGTCACAGTGGGGTTGCCACGTTCCTGAGATGTATTCGCATGCAAGATTCTACCACAGCACGAACACAAATGCGACGATTATTAGAGATTCGTCATTCCCGACTATGGGATCACACGTGTATTACATGATGTGTCACCCCATATCCCGATATATTGAGTATAGAATATAAGGCTTACAATAAGAAAGGCATCTCTATACACCGGCATCATCATGCGGTGATTCTACGTCATTAATGCGTGGGCTTGAGGTCGACATCAACGTACTATGGGAGTGTGTATACATTATATGTGTATGTCGGTATACATATAAAGTGTGCATGGATGCCATGTAATGTGTTATGCTACACCTTAGCATATATATATATATACACACACATGTACACACGA